CTATTTACAAAGTTGTGGGCAAGGTCAAAGGAATGAAGGACTTCAGCAAGGAATGAACGAGCAGGAATGAAGCACTACAGGGCTAGCAATAGTAGGGAACCACTATCATCTTAGGCCTGAAACAGCAAGACAAGAGAGCAATTACCAGAACCCCAGAGAGAGAAAGTAGCTATAGGAGAGTCTGTCTGACAGGTGTTGAGGCCTTTAGCAGAGGGAAAGAGTTAAACCATGGCCAAGCAAATAGATACCTCGTCTTACTCTCTTCTCCCTCCCTTGGATGTTCTACTAGTGCCTTCCATTGGCTGAACCCAGCTGGAAGCCAGAAGAAGATAATACAGCCCATTGATACAATTCACGTAAGTCAGTCACCAGAATAAAGAGCAAGGAAGAGAAGTTTGGAAAGTAAATTTGTTCTGGAAAAGCAAGTGACATATTTCTAGCTTAAGGGCTAAGCTTGATCTCTTGCCTACCTCAGTTCGCTTGGGGTCTTCTCTTTCATTGGTCTAGATATTAACATCACTCCTTCTCTTGAATGACACCAATTACTTCCTTCTTGCCATATCAAATGTTTCATTTACTCTCACACTTTTTCTTCTATTCATACACATTGGATGATCTTCCCTACATTTTTCCCATTCCAAATTATGTACTTCTAAAACTATAGCTCAAGTCTCCATTCCAGTCCAGAAGAGCATTATTTTGAACTAGATGAGATGGCTTCCTAAATTTGGAACAAGCCACTTGAAGGAAATTGAGGTTCCATTTGGTGCTTCCCCACCTGCCCCCAAGAACATGTAAAACTTAGAAGGGATTGTTTCCTTGGGTGGACAGTTGGGCTGTGACTTCTGAAGTCCATGAATACTGTGAGTTAGAAGCATGACAATATTGGCAGTATGCCAAGTACACAATAGCTGTCTTTATGGATGAATTATCTTCTGCGACAATGTCTCCTGAAAACTGTCAGGCAAATGGGAAAAGGAAAAAATGTCCTATATCTTTCTGAATTTACACAGGAACTACTCTATCAGGAAGTCTTGAGCTGTTAGAAGACTTGAGTGTCTTTAATTGTAATACTATCCAGTCTTAGTATCTTTAGAGTCTTAATGTGAATAGATCTGTTGGATAATGGCTCAGCAAGTTTACCAACACACTTTGCCAAGATGAGATTACCTATAAGGAGGCATAATTTGGCCCCCACTTTCTCTCCAATCTCATCTTTCACTATTCCCTCTAACACCCATTGTGCATGTCCACATGCCCAGACACCTACCCACAGACAGATATGCTCTATTCCACCATACTAAACTTCCTTTTAAACTCTAGGTTTTGCGTGTGATGTTCACCCTGCCAACGACATTTTCTTTGCTTCTTTTATTTTTCCTATCCTGCCATTCATCATATTGCATTCTATTTGATTATTAATGACATTAGGCTCTCATTAGGCTGAGAGCAGGGGCTATTTCTTACTTATTTGTCATGTAATCTCCAGGACAGTGCCTGGCATATAATAACTTCTCATTATCTGTTGAAGTAAATGAATGAAGGAAATAGCAATGGGAAAATTTTGTTCACCAATGTTTATCCTAAAGTTAGTTCTGCTTAGGATGGATCTCATTTGTAACTGGGAAAGAAAACTGGAAAGTGTCTGAGTAATTCACAAATACAAGTTCGCTTCCCGAATAAGCAGCAGAGTAACAAACAGCGTGCTGCCCTAGGAGGGCCCCAGACTTGTTAGACCATTGTGAGGACACTGGCAACTACTAGAGTGCTTCTCAGATTAGATGCCCACCAGAATCCCTTCAGATTACTTGTCACATTTACCCAAGCTAGACCGTCTGCATCCCAGACTTTCTGAGTCACCACCTCTGGGGGTGGGTACTGAGAGTCTGTGTTTTATTAACTGCCCCCATCATCCTCCAGGTGGTGGTTCTGGTGTGTACTCAGGCAGGAGAAGCTTTGCTTGACCCTGAAATGTTTTCAAGCTCCCTGAGGACCTGTGATCTTACCATGGGCATGAGTCACCAACAACCTTAAGTTTGTAAATGATATTTGTAAATATTCACAATTTTATGTTTTAATTTTTTATGGCTTGTAGACTTTCCCCTGGGGAGATGTTTAATTTTCTTGTGCTGTTTTGTATTTCAGGGTCTTATTCACTTGATTAATTTTTAATTGGAGAATCATGCTGAGCTATTTCTAGACTATGAGTGGAAGCAGCTCTGTACTGCTTTTCCAGGGGAATTCTGATTAATGTACTTTCACTGTGGTCCCCGGAGACCACCAATTTCCTTGTCCCCCAATTATATGTATTCTGTTGAGAGAAAGGCAGAAAGCTGGGGAAAGGTAAACACGCTTGAGCAATGTTGAAATGTGCTGGGTGACAGTGTTAAAACCTACTTTTACATGCCTCTAGGTATGAATTTAATTGCATGTGTCCATGGAATCATCCAAAGGAACGCTGCGTCTTTGTTTTTACAATCACTTGTTTTTATTAGAAAATTGTTTGCTCTAAAATTAAGCATTTAATCTCATCAGACACCTCTGCTAAAACTTCCTAATATGCATCCCAGTCTAGAAAATGATTGTTAGAGTTGTTTTGGTTAGCTGATTCTGCTGATTCTTCTACTTAGGCTTGTTATTGAAGCCAGGTGAGTCATTTTCCCATAACAGCTCATTGTAACTCGACCAGTGATCTTTAGAATGGCCAACAGACCTCGCCTGATGGTCACCCGGTGGCCTTGCCTTTCTCCTTGTGAGCCAGATTTTGAGTCTTTTTACAAAGCTGCATGAAAATATTAGATACAGAAGAAGCATGGCATGTAAGTTCCCAGAAGGATAGTATATTAGTTGTCTCGTGCAGAGTAACAAATTACCACAAAGTTAGTGGCTTAAATGACACCCATTTATTAGTAGAGTTGGGTAGGTCAGAAATATGGCAGGGGATCCTGTGGGTTCTCTACTTCATATCTCACAAGGCAGAAATTAAGGCATTGGTCTATGGGAGCGGGGGAACTCTAATCTAGAGGTTCTGGGGAAGAATCTACTTCCAAACTCATTTAGGATGTTGGCAGAATTCAATTCCTTTCAGCTATGAGACTCAGGTTGCCATTTCTTTGCTGGCTGTTGGCTGGGGGATCTCTCTTAACTCTTAGAAGCTGCTTTCTGGTCCTTGCAGGCAACCCCTCCATCTGCAAAGCTGGCGGTAATGCATCAAATTCTTTTTCATGCTCACATCTCTGGGACTTCACCCTCTACTACCAGCCAGAGAAAATGCTGCTTTTACAGGGCTTGTGTGATTAGGTCAGGTATATCGTCTGCCTCTAAAGGTCAATTGATTTGGGGCTTTACATCTTAAAAATCCCTTTAGAACAGTATTGAGATTAGCATTTGATTGAATAACTAGGGGACAGGAATCTTGGGAGTCTACTTGAGAATTCTGCTTAAAACATCCAGGGACCTTATTTAAAATGATAAGAAAATGATTATATTTATAAATATATGTACTCTATATTATATATGCAATTTAGACTATTCAACCTTAATTGGCTGATAATATGGCTGCTATCTTTGGGAAAGACCCTAGTTGTGGCAGTATCTAATATCATTTATACATTATATGAAAGCCAGAAATCAGACTACAAGGATATATAATCTTCTGCTGAATTTAAAGGTAAGCTTCCTCTTGAGTTTTACACAAAATCGTTCATCTCTACAGGTAGGACTTTTAGGTCATCTAAATGCTCACTCTAATGCTGTAATCTACTAGGCATTTCCCAGTAGTTACCTGTTAGACCTGAGGGCCCACTGTTTCTTATCTGTTGCCTGGTTTCAAGCATTTCATGATAGCTAATACGAAACCCCTGTCATAATTGGTTTGTGTTGTATTTAAACCACCAACATTTAGTGAAAAGTCCTTTTCCTGACCAATTCAACAGGCCAGCTCGCATATTGTATCAAAATACTTAAAATTCTTATTAAATGTGTATCTTTAAAAAAAATCTTCAATAGTATTGAGTGGTGAGTGAATGAAATGTTTAGGATAATGTACTTAAAATCAGTGAGAGAAAACAGTGTTTACAATGAGTAGGATCATAAGAACTGGGTCAAAGATTAGTGTGTATGGTTGAACCATGAATTTGCATATCAACATGGGGACCAAGAACAAAAACTATAGCAAGGTGTGCAAAGAAGAGAGGAGATTCAGGAGGATGAGACCAGGAAAGTGCCCAGGGGACGATGGATAACCATAGCCAAGGGCTGTCCAAATTGGTCAGAGCGAGGTTGTGCTTCTATGTCTGGGCACACCCTGAAGCCTGAGTTTGAAGCAAGGCAGTGAGTCAAACTAGAAGGAAGGAAAGAATCAGAAGAACACAGATAATGGAGATCAGTGGTTCTTAATTTCTAATACAACCTATTGTTCTCCTTCCTAAAACACACACACATAAACACACACATACACACAAAACTACACATACAATTTTGAATTTAATTCTGGACCACGTACGGATTATGACTCTGTATAGATGTTTAGATCAACAGACACCCAAGACAGACTCTGGAATTTGGATACAGACCCAGAATTGAGACATTGTCTGAAACCTCCTGGAAAATCACAATAGGGCCGCAATCGGCAGGCACCAAGGTCCTTGATTCTGAAGTTACCCACTCTTTCACCAAGAACCTCCTTATACACTCTGGTCACTCAGTAACCAGTATTATGGTGTGCCCCCTGCAAGGTCTAGAAGGAGTGAGGCTAAAGAGGATGAACTTGGGCGTGTAAGATAGAAAGAAGTGTGAGCCCTAATATCTAGATTATATTCTCAAGTGTTCTGATGGATACTTAAACTGGAACTACCTTTTATTTTTCCTTCTAAAAATTTTTGTTCTCTTTACACATTTCTGGCAACTGTATGGTGCAGTTCTTAAATCTCTGCATCTGAGAAAATTGTTAAAAGGCTTTTTTTTTTTTTTTCCTCTTTATAAAAGCAGAGGTTTATTACCATTGGATTTGAATCTGCTATGAGATCCCGCAGAGAATCCAGAAATCCCTGATCTTCCACCATTTGGGCATTGATATCATGGAGTTTTGCCACACAGACTGCTGCTGTTTTCCGAACATAGGGATCTTCATCCTTCAAGCACTTGCGGAGAGGCTCACAGAGATATTCTGTAATCTTGTCCACCCGGATGCACCCCATGGTCCTGACTGCTAAGGCCCGAATTAGAGGATTGGGATCTTCACAGTCCTTCACAAAGCTGTTGACAGCCATGATGGCCATGTCTGGCTGACTCTTGGCGTAGTTCATCAAATAGAGATAAACAAGCTTCTTTAATTCCAGGTTGTCAGTTTGCATACAGTTCACTACATCTGGAAAGAGAGAACTAACGTCCTTCCCCACAGTCATGGCAGCAATCACTTTCTTCACAGCCTCCTTCCTCTTTTCTTTCTTTTCATTGTTGAGTTCAGCCTTTAATTCAAAGATTTCTCCTTTTTTATTGGTTGTGAAGTACTTGGAGTCAGTCATGGTTTTGGATTTTTAATGTGCACCTGTCCTCGGCCGGTGTGCGATGTCACTGCCTTTTTCAGAGAAATCCTCCCCCGAAGTTAGCCGCCTTGAACTCACCGGAGGCCTGTTAAAAGGCCTTTTAAACTGCATGTTCACACAAGCTTATTTAGTTTACATTCCTGAGTATTTAAATAATTAAGAAGGAGCCTCAAGAAGTTGTCAAATGAAAGAGATGCCTAATAATTGATGAAATACAAATGACTTTCTACTAGAAAGACAGAGCAATGGCAGATTTAGCCTCCAAAGCAAGATAGTCAAGAGAAAGCATTTACAAATATATTAAGTTTTGTCTAGGATTACTTGTCAAAAAGTCACTAAAGTTAGAATTTTAAGATGGTACTTTCTTCTCTCCCCTTTATCAAATCTGTAACTGGAAAAACTATGTGGGTTGAGGATTTCATTGATTATGAACATCTACACGGCATCCAAAGGGGCCTAAGAATTCTCTACGTAGACTGTTCCATCAGAGGGGACTACCCTGGTCCATCTGCATGTTGCATCCATACCAGGGATTCAGTGTATCACTTTTTCTCCCTGACTGGTATCACCCTCAGTGGTTTATATTTAGTTTCAGAAAGAAATAGTTTGCGGGAATTTTAGGCCACTAAAGCATGTCACTGCAGTCATAACTGGAGGTTAGTCTGTGTTCTGAGTTTAGTTTCTCTTTAGGTAGCAGACATTGCTAGTAACTACGGGCATCCCAAATGCTGGGGACTCCTTCTTAGGAAGGGGATTCATGTATAGGGACGGATCCAAGGAAGGGACCCTGGAAATGAGGATGTGTTGGGGAAATCTATTGTAAACAAATGTGTTTGGAAAAATCCAACTACTCTCACTTTTAGTGACTAATCATTTGCATTGAACATGAGTTAATTGAGTGTAGGTTGGAAATGTCGTTTGTAAATCATTTACTGTTCCATTGTTAGCCTTTCTCTGTCAGCATGCACATCTTTATAATCTTAAACCACATACGTCTTTAGAATGCAGTGTTCTTAGGTGCAGTATTTCTTTGATGGTTATAACTCTATGAAATAGGCAGGAAAGTTAATAATATTCTTAGCTTTAAAAGATGTCTAACTGAGGCACAGAAGGATGAGGTAACTTGCCCAAAGTTACACGCACTGTAAACGGCAGACCTAGGACTTAACCTTGTCTTCTCACTCTTGCATATCTGTAGATGCACTGCTGCTCCACCACCCTGAGGAAAGGTATTCTGTGATTTGTTTTTCCAGGGGCAATGATAAACTTGTGCTTTTTAGTGGTGCCCTTGGGAGCCCCAGTAGCCACACTTATGTCAGGAGTGAGTGTCACAGCTTGGGCTCCTCATGTTGGGCTTTTCTTCAAGTGGCAATTAACTGGGATATTGTGATGATCAAAACATGTTTTATTCAACTTGAGTAGATAAATGCAAACCAACTCCAATGAAACGCCCAGAACAGCGTCTGGCACTTGGTAGACACATAAAAATATTTGTTGAATTGACTGTTCTTAGCATTACATATTTGACTGAAACTTTTATAGGGTGAGTTTAGTCAGAAGAGTTTATTCATTTATTCATTAATTCACCAAATATATAGCAAGGACCATTCTGCCCTACCATTGGCACTGCTCTGGGCCCTAGGGACTAGGGGGTGAGAGAACAAGGTCCCTGCTTTCATGAAGCTTATAGTCTAGTATGGAGAGGTGGATATTTAATAAATAAGAAAATGTCATGTATGATGAGTGATACAGAGAAAATTTAAACAAATAAGGTGATCAAATGGCTGAGCTGTGGTGTGGGCAGGCATTTTAGAAAATCCTTCTCTGCGGAGGTAATATGGATGTGAATAATACACAGGTACCTGCTGGGCAAAGATTCAGGTGATGAGCTTTCTGGGAGAGGACTCTTGGAAGTTAATAAGCTAGGCATGTCTGAGGAACCAAACAGAGGGCCAGCGAAGTTGGAGTGTCGGCATCGAGAGCACAAGGAGAATATGATGAGGATAAAAAGACAGTCTTAGGGACCATGAGAGAATTTGAAATTTATTGTAATTATACTCAGAAATTGCAGGAGGATTTGAAGCAGGGTAGTCATAAAATCTGATTTATATTTTAGATGAGTCAGACTCTTGTGTAATGAGTGGGCTGTAGGGAGCAAGGGAAGAAGCAGGGTCCAGGTGAGAGATATTGATGGGGGAGGTAGAGAGGGTGTCAGTGGAGGTGTTGAGAAGTGGTTGGGTTTGACATGTATATATTGAGGTAGGACTTGACTGATCTGATGGGCGGAGGAAAGGGCAGGGAAAGACACCGATCCAGGATGATTCTAGGATTTAACCTTGAGCAACAGGTGAATGGTAGTGCCAGCTTCTGGGGAACAAGACTGGAGTTGTGTGGGCGAGGATGGAGAATCAAAAATTGCTTCCCAAGAGCACCTCTGCTACCAAGAAAACTCTGTTTGTAAAGGGAAAAGATGAGAGAGAGAGGAATGGATGGAACTAGGATGCAAGAAGTTTGGGCGTTCTTCGATTACTCCCTGCTGTGGTATTAGGTCTGGGAGAGTATATTCATAACTCTTTTTTTCTATTTCCTCACTTAATGAATAGCAAGATTAAATACTTAAAAATGCGTGTGCACAGTAACCTCCCCCAAAGTGTTTTGAGCTCCTTGGATTTCAGTGTTATACAAGTGTAAATGGTTCCCCGAAAGGTCAGGCAGTTTATCTCCTTGAGAGTGATTTATGTTAGCAGCTCTGGTTGTTTATCTCTTCTGCAGCTCTGCTGCCAAGAATAGAAAGAAAATCCTGAGACATCTTATTCTTCATTAGGCGGCAGGGAAAGTGGTTTAAAGCTGCTGTCCAAGTTATTAATTAACCACTTAACTCAGTTCTATAATAAAATATAAGGAATTCTTTCTTCCCATCTTAAAGGAATATTGAAGAAAACAAGCAAAATATGTAAACTAAACAGTGTGAGTAGTAGAGGTTACTGAAAAATAGCACTTGTCTCCTCCCCGTGCTTTAGTCTCCACAAAAATAATTCAGGGCTTTGAGCATCCATTATTTTTTGGTTATAATTTAATCAGCTTTTTCATTCACTGGGTAAAATAAGCTGTCACCAGGAGATGATACTTGGGTACTAGCAAATGACTTCTCTGATTGCACCAAGGACTCTAGATGGTCTTTAGATTGGCACTAATAATAGGAGTAATGAGTGAAGTTAGCCAGAATAGTTATCTACCATACACTGATGTGATTTTTTTTTCTCTTCACATATTTAACACTCAAAGATTGCCGAGCATTTTTAAAACCCTAAACTTGTGAGACTTTTAACAGCTGAGAATTTGAGGTACTGAAAGAGTGGAGGGCTTATCTAATGGTATGCCACAATTAGACTCCGAAGAATCTAAGTCTATAGCAGATGAAAGGGTGGAAATGTATTTCCAATGACTAGTGCCTCCACCTTCCTTGTCTGCCTTATTTCCCACCCAGAGAGACCAGGGCCTTACTGTGTACACTTCCTAGAGCTCTGGTTTCAGAAGAAAAGGTTGTTAGTAACGAATTCATGGTTGAATCAGATTGGTGACAATTTAAAACGTATTCCTCCAGAGGGGATTTGAATTTTTAAGACTATTCAGAGAAATGCTTCACTGAAGGGGGAAGAAGTTAGTCTCTGATAGTGGACTCTTAGTCACGTGGCCTCTGGTTGGACAGGCGTTTGAGGCCAGGAGCATCTTCCTGTTTTTCTCAAGTCATAACAAATCAAAGATTGCCTGCTTTATCACTGTGAAGACTGTCCAGATGGGGCTTCCTTTGATTCTCTGAAGCCCAAGAGGCAACAGAGACCAAAATATCCATCCCACCACTTGTAGGGTGGTTTTCTTTAAAATAAAAAGAGTATTCTTGGGCCCCTGGGTGGCTCAGATGGTTAAGCGTCTGCCTTCGGCTCAGGTCATGATCCCAGGGTCCTGGGATCGAGTCCCGCATCAGGCTCCCTGC